GGGAGGCTGCGGTGTCCCGGCGGCTGCCGAGCCGGCCGCTCTTGGCAGAGCTTTGACTGCAGGAGATCTCAGGTCCTGCACGTGCTGCTCTGTTCGGAGTGTCCTGGCCGTTCTGTCATCAAGAGGAGGAAGGAGTGCTTCTGGAACCTTGCTGTTGTGGTCCTGGAACCTGCTCAGTTCCCTTGTCAATTGCAGTCGGCTGCTTTGGTTGCTTCTGTCGAGTTTCAGATCTGTTTCACTACAGGTGGTGCTGCGGCAGGCTTCCGCAGCAGCCATCTCACCTCGAGATACTTCTCTTTGCGTTTTATGTCACTCTACTGGGTCTCTTTGCACTTTATTTCAAAACCAAAGAATGTGCTTCAGCTGTTGAAAGTCTGTTTTGTGGGTCATGTTTTGTGTACTGAAATTGATGATGTAAATGTTACTGTTCAGGGGTGCAAGACTGAATGCATCTCTTTTTCCCTGGAGCCTCTTGCAGGGCAGCTAATGGAGACCTTATTTGTAAGTCATGTGGTGCCAGTGAAGGCTTCCCTGTTCTGTGACCGTGACTACTCTGTCCCAATGTGTGTTTGCATGTTGTTGGTCTTGCTTTTGTCAGATAACTAGTTATTTCTATACTTGTCATTGAGCCTGACTTATGTTTGTACGGTTTATTGCATGAGTGGATGATAAGGGCTTTCATATGACTAACAAGATCTTCCATCTGTCTAACAAATATATGCTTCAGTCTTGTGGTGAGGTGCTCATGTCTGGTTTGAAGTATTGTTGGGAAAGAAAAAAGGCAAGGAAGGGGCTGTACTGTAGATTTTGGGGGTGGGCTGTGGTTTGGCAACCTCTTTTGCTTGGTACTGTTCTATTGCATTGCTCTTCTGAAATCTTTGTATGTGAGAGGATGACATGTTCTTTTTGGTAATTTTCTAACCTGAAAAGGGAAAAAAAAACAACATGAAGAATGGTATAATTATTTGCATCAGTCAGAAAAGAGAGGAAGGGAAATAGAGACCCCAATCTGTTCTGATGCTATATCATTGTGCCTTATTTGGGGATGTTTGAAAAACTGATCATTGTATAATTACCTTGTTCTCATAGAGAACTGTAGAAAAAATGGTCTTTCTTTCTATGTTACAATGGCTGCTCCTAGTTGTTTGCATGTTGCTAGGTAAAAATCAAAACTATTTTATAGTATTAATCTCAAAGCTTTTGAATTGTAATGGTGATATTCTTACTTCTTGTGGAAATAAAATCTCTGTCTTGGATCTTTGGTGGATGAAATTCTGGAATTATGAGAATCCTATGTATGTTGTAAATTCTGGATCACCTGAATTGTACTGTGGCACCTGGCTGATGTTTGGGCAAGAGCCAGTATTTTCATGACAGACACTTTGTTTTCTGTTGCTGCCCAATGCTTTGTTGTATTTTTACTTGAAATTCTCTCTGAAAACTTGGAAATTATCTGGTCTTCATTTTGGTCTTTGATTTGTCACTCTGGGAGTTTAGTGTTTCATGAAAGTGTTAAAATGAAATTGACTTGGTGTTTTGTGATTAGGTATTTGTCAGCTGTATTGCTTAAGCAGCCCTTCCTCTCCATCCCTGTTTGATCATTCCTGTTGCTGCACAGCCCTCTCCAATATGCTGCTTCCCTATGGTTTTAGAGTAATGACATTGTGAACCGATCTTGCTGAAGAAAAAACAGTTTTGTAAACAGAATAGAAGTCATGTAGAGATGAGAAAGAGCAACTCCAAATGTCTTGGAACTAGACAACGGGTAGTTGGAAGAACTGGACGTGGAAAGTGAAGCAGCAGAAATAACTTACTACAAGGTGGTCAATCAGGACTACCCTAGTTAAACCCTCAGACTACTACCCATTATTAATTTTTCAGGTAGGCAGTGATGAGATTGCTGCAAGAAGTCCAAGGGCAATGAAGAGAGACTCCAGGGCCCTGGGACAGCTCGTTAGGGAGTCAGGAGCATTTGCCGAACAATTACCTTTAAAGGTCCCTTCCAACTGGAATCATTATACGGTTCTATAAATCTACACAGCTTTTATCTTTAAGTAATTGTTTCTATCCATGAAAAATTCTTAACACTGAGTCCTATGTCTGTTAAAGCTATGTTCAGCTTTGCATTGGAAGGAACACTAATATCCATAGTCCTGTCCTGTGGTTTTCAGTTATGCTGATGAAATCAATTATTTGGCAGCTGTAAATTACATTGTGAAAAGTTGCAGAGACACATTTGCCTGAAGTACACTTGGGTAGAAATGACAATCTTACTTGGCAAGGCTTTCAGTATAGAATATTTTCATTTGGACAGCAGTTTTATGTAGAACAGAATTTTAAGCTTGGTATTCTGATTTTTTTATTTACAAATTAAATATTTAGAATTTGTAGCTGTAACTTTTTAAATGTTTTAAGAGCTTTGGAAGTGGAAAATTTGGTCATCTCTTCAAATTTTGGGACACATTTCCTGAGAGGAGGCCTCCTTTAAAGTAATCATGATTGATGTTGCTGGAAGAATATAATCTCTATTTTTAAGAGTTGGGAAAGTAAATATTGTACATCAATGACTATTAAATTTGGATTCTTCTCCCCTTTAAATGTTTGTTTATTAGACTAATACCATGTTTCCAATCCGTTACCTGTAAAGCATTCTTAAGTATGGAGAACTTCATTCTGTATGAAGAGATTGGAAGAGGAAATAAGACAATTGTTTATAAAGGGAGAAGAAAGGGGACAATAAATTTTGTTGCTGTTCTTTGCACTGAGAAATGCAAAAGAGCTGAAATACTAAACTGGGTAAGTTTTTTGGTTTTTTTCCTGCTAAAGCTGATTAAAGATATAACTTACAAAATCCTTGTAGCATAGGTAATACAAAAGAAAAATACCATGTCCTTTTTAGCTGGAGTTTGTAACAATTTAAATCAGCTTCTTAAGATTTTAAAACATACTTTTTTGAAAGAGTCTTATTTTAATGTGCTTATTTCTGCATCTGATTTTGTTGTTGTTTACACAACATGCATAAGCCCGTGTTCACAGGCTTATTTCTGTGGTATGTCAGAGAACTTGTAAAAACGGTTACTTGCACATAGTGATTTCCTTTACTTTCTTATCAGTTGTGCAAATTCAGTGGTAGTAGTACCTTTCAGTAAATAATCAGTTTCTTACTTATCCAGAAGAAATTATTTTTTATGAAGGAATAGCATTTCAGGGAAATAGATTCTGATTTGTAAAAGCTTGGCAAAGATTTAAGCATAAAATAATTTCTGGAAAAGAAACTCTAACCAATACATTTAGATGTTTCAAATATTTTGTTTTTTCTAGTAGATAAGTTATATTTTCTGTTTCCTCTCATTTTTTCAATGCTCATTTGTTGGGTGATAAATCAATCTGCTCAGTCTGTCTGTGACAAAAGTTACATATATATATACAAAACCAAACTCAACATACATACAAAACAAAAATATTTGAATCAGAGAATAAATTTAATGCACTGGAAAAGGTAAGAGAACAAGTAGTTGATCTTCAGTAAAGTTTTAATGTCTTCTGCCTCCTAAGTCTATATGTATTGCTGTATTTTTTTATTTTTTTCTCAGTAAAGTATGTCAAAAACTTTGTTCTAGGTTCGCTTGACTCATGAAATCAGACACAAGAATATAGTGACACTTCATGAATGGTATGAAACAAGCAACCATCTCTGGCTTGTAGCAGAATTATGCACAGGTAAGATCATCTCCAAATGTAAAAATTTATGGAGTGACTGTAAGTGATTTCTTATAACATGCACTTAGGCCATTGAAAAGGCTTAAGAGTTACCTGCTTATTAATTTGAGAATTATATTTACTTGTAAAAATGGTTTTGCTTTTGTAAACCTTTTCAGAAATCCTATTTTTTCTCTGCTTTGTCATGTGTTTATGTATGTAAGATGTTAATTAATGTGACATAATGTTGGTTTTAATAGCTGAAGAGATAGGGCTGATCGAGGGAACTTAAAAACAAACTATGAATAGTTGGAGGGTAGCTAAGTAAAAATTACTTGAGGAAAGTTTTCTAAGGACAATCAGCTTTGATTTTTCTCTTTTCATTTCATAGCACACACTAAAAAAGAGAGCAAAGAACAAATCAAGTTATAGTGTACAAGTTACATAGCATTGTTAAAATAATTTTTCAATCAAGGGGCAGTTTTGTAATAATAAAGTATGTAAGTTTTCTTCCTGTTCAGTGGATATATTTTGACTTTTATCTAAAGATGTTAATTTTGGAGCTCAGGGAACCCATAAACTGCATGAATTTTTTTCATGGAGTTTTGATAGGTCTTCAGCAATCCACTAAAGAATCTTATATAGCTTACTTTAATTATGATGACTTCATGCTTTACACTCCAGGTGGCATGCTGTTCTCCACATGGAAAGAAAAGGTGGCAAATTATGCAAATGATGCTTGTTAAGATTTTGGTATCTGGAGTTTGTTTCATAGTAAGAGTCAGAATTACACACAGCCTTTTTTTCTATCCAGAATGGTTTCAAATTACTGAGGAAGAGAAGATACAAGTTCTGGCAAAAAATAAATCAGGTTATTCTGTGATTGAAAGTGAAGTTAATGGCTCATGTAGAGGCTTTGGTCTATTTGCTTAGTCTAATGTACGCAACATATGTAAGTTACTAAACAGGCAGTCTTCTATTAAGTATAGCTTGAAATATTAGAACCTAATTTTACCTTGCAGTGTTGCAGTTCACTGTAGGGAGAATGTCTTGGAGCTAACTTACCTAGAATAAGACATGGATTTTTGTATTCATTTTGTAGAGCCTTGAAAACTGTTTATGAGATATTGAAGATCTCTCTCATTTGTTTTAAGGTGACAAAATGAGTTTCTGTTATCAGGTGCAGCATACTTCTGGGTTGCTGGTTTCCTATTTTTTACTTGTATTTGATTATATTATGGAATTATTCAATCTGTAGTCCTCTCAGATACATTATAAAACCCAGTAATTGAACACAATGGGAAATTCTTTACTATTGCTATGTAATATGGACTTGGTTTTAATGAAATGACTGATTTACTAACCAGGATAAAAAAAACCCTCTTTGAAATAAAATAATCCTAAGATTCAGCAGTGGTAAATAATATGAAGAATACTGTGGAGAAAAATCTTTTAGTCTTCCTATTCTCTGAAATAAATTACTGAGCAAAGGGAAATAAGCTCAGGACGATGTATTAAATGAATTGGAATAAAGATCTAGTGTCTTTTTCTATGGAAAGTTTTTGTAATCCTTACTTCCATTCAGGGACTTAGATTTGTGTCTTTATTTTTTAATATTTTTTTTAAACCGCATGATTTGGCTAAAATATAAACTAAAGATAACCCAGGAAACTGATAGCTAATTTGTGAAATAGAAATTGTAGTCTTAGGGGAACAGATTTGGTGCAGGACTAGTAAAGGACCAAATAAGACTGAGCAAAGGGACTTCGGGGGCAATGTGAATGTGAATTCTAGGATAGCAGACTAGGACACAGAGGAGAGACTGAGCAATGATGTTGTGGGAAACAAGTGTAGGAGAAGTCCAACTCTTATGAAGTTAGGACAGGGATGGGTCAAATGGGATGAGTCTGACATACCTGAGAATCAGTGGTATTTAAGGAAGTAGGTGATGGGGGAAGAAATTTTTGCAATTTTTCCTTTTGTTTTCTTTGTAAAAGAAATCAACACTAAAATAATATTGAAGTCATGCACTCAATTTAATTGTTATAAAAATTAAGATTTTTGTCATAGTATTGGAAACTCTTTTTTTCTGTACATCTTGGATTTTGTAACTATTGAGTAATAACAAAAAAATTTTGTCTACTGAATGATTTTTGCTTGACATCTTTTAAAGAAGCTTGTATAATGTCCTTCAGATTTATTTATATGGCGTCTTCTTTATATGCACTTGCTGATGATGTGTAAATGTGTTTCAGGTGGTTCTCTAGAATCTGTTATTGCTCAAGATGAACATCTACCTGAAGATGTAGTGAGAGAATTTGGTATTGACTTGATTACTGGTTTATACTATATCCATAAGCTTGGAATTATCTTTTGTGAGTTGACACCTGGAAAGGTAAGGAGGAGTATTATTCATAGGAGACACTGCATGTTACTTTGTGTGCCATCAGCATTTCATTCACTATTTCTATTTTACTGTTTGGAAGAGGCTTACCTCAGGTTTGAGGCCACTTGAGCTTTACACTATATGTGAATACAGTGAGAGACAAGTGTATAGTTTGATTATGATAAAATTTATTTCTTTCCTTTTTGTATATTTGGTACAATATGATAGATTCTTTTTAATCTGGTTTGAATTAATGAAAGATTTTAGTTCTCTGACCTTGGGCATATAATTTTGTTATTATACCTATTCTATCATGCTGCATAATATTTTGAAGTCATAGGAAATGCTAAAGAGGGAGTAAAGTTAACTCAACTTTTTTGATAATAACCCTGTGTATTGTTTCTGAATACCATCTAAATTGTCATCTTACTATCACAAAAAAATACAAATCATAGAATTGTAGAATGGCTTAGCTTGAAAAGGGCTTGCCTAATCTCCCCTATTTCAGTTTAAAATTGCTGCTCCTCATCCTATCACTACATGCCCTTGTAAAAAGTCCCTTCCCAGCTTTCCTGTAGGCCCTCTTCAGATACTGGAAGGCCACAATGAGGTCTCCCTGGTGCCTTCTCCAGCCTGAACAACCTGAGCTCTCTTAACCTGTCTTCAAAGAAGTGCTCCAGCCCTTGGATCATCTTCATGGCCCTCCTGGATTTGCTTCAACAGATCCGTGTCTTTCTTGTGCTGAGTACTCTAGAGCTGGGCACAATACTTAGGTGGGGTCTCAAGAGAGCAGAGTAGAGGAAGAGAATCACCTCTGTTAACCTGCTGGTCACATTTGTTTTGATGCAGCCCAGGACACAGTTGGTGTTCTGGGCTCTGAGCACACATTGCTGGCTCATATTCAGCTTTTCATCAATCAACATCCCCAAGTCCATTTCCTTAGGGCTTTTCTCAATCCTTTCATCCCTCAGCCTATATTTGTACTTGGGCTTGACCTGAGCTGTGTGTGGAACCTAGCATTTGGCCTTATTGAACCTTATGCTGTTTGCACAGGCCCACCTCTCCAGCTTGTCAAGGTCCCTCTGGACGGCATCCCTTCCTTCCAACATGTCAACTGCACCACACAGCTTGGTGTTATCAGCAACTTGCTGAGAGTGTGCTCAATGCCACTGTCCATGTCATCAACAAAGATGTTAAACAGCACTGGTTCCAGTACTGGTGCCTGAGGAACACCACTTGTCACTGGTCTCCATCTGGACATTGAGCCATCAACCACAACTCTTTGAGTGTGACTATCCAGCCAATTACTCATCCACTGAGTGGTACATTCATCAAGTCTACGTCTCTCCAATTTTTACATCAATCTTTAGTTTCTGATTTGTGTATGTGTATGAAATTTATGCATAGTTTTGTAAAAGTCCATGTTTGATTTTGTTATGTAGTAACCAGAATATAGCTAACTAAATTTTTTGCATAACAGTAATTATTTTTTATGCTACTCAGTCAGTGATCAAGTTGTCCTTCTCTGAATTTTCTGTAAAAACTTCCACAGCTGTACTCAGCTTCTGTCATTTGTACGTATAAAAGCAGTAAAAACGAATGTATGAATAAAGCATAATGGAGATGCCTCTGTATTCTTCCAAAGAAGAATGTTGCTGTGAACACAAAATAGGGAGTGCTAAAATAAGACTACTTTTTTCTTTTCCCCATCTAATTGAAGGGGCTATTTCCCAGTAAAGTTTTTGGAGTATGAGGCTTTTAATTATGAGAATAAGCACTGACTTCATAGAGAAGACTCTCATGATCAGTGGACAAAGTCTTTGGAATTTTTTGCTAAGTAAAATTAGAAAGATTCATTTTTCTTTTTCCTCATGAAACAGTATTTCTTTATACTGCACTTTTATTTTCTTCTACAGTGTTACTCTACTTTTACTTCCTTTTCTGTACTACCTTTTTTTGTTCATTTAGAATACTGCTGTTAAACATCTTTGTTGGAGACATGGACAGTGGGATTGAGTGTATCCTCAGTGAATTTGCTGATGATACCAGCTTGTGTGGTGTGGTTGACACCCTAGAGGGAAGGGATGCCATCCAGAGGGACCTTAACAGGCTGGAGAGGTGGGCCAGTGCCAACCTCATGAAGTTCAACAAGGCCAAATACAAGATCCTGCACCTGTGTCAGTGCAATCCCAGGCACAAATACAGGCTGGGGAGAGAATGGCTGGAGAGCAGTCCTGAGGAGAAGGACCTGGGGACTCGTAGTAGACAAGAAGCTTGACGTGAGCCACCAGTGTGTGCTGTAGCCCAGAGAGCCAAACACATCCTGGGCTGCATCAAAAGAAGTGTGGCCAGCAGGGCCAGGGAGGTGATTCTGCCCCTCTGCTCTGGTCTGGTCAAACCCCACCTGGAGTAGTGCGTACAGTTCTGGTGCCCTCAGCACAGGAAAGACATGGAGCTGTTGGAGAGGGTCCAGAGAAGGGCCACCAAGATGATCAAAGGGCTGGAGCACCTCTGCTATGAAGACAGGCTGAGAGACTTGGGGCTGTTCAGCCTGGAGAAGAGAAGGCTCTGAGGAGATGTTGTATCAACCTTTCAGTACTTGAAAGGGGCTACAGGAAAGCTGGGAAGGGGCTTTTCACCAGAGAGGGCAGTGACAGGACAAGGGGTAATGGTTTTAAACTGAAATAGGGTAAATTTAGGTTAGACATCAGGAAGAAATTCTTCACCATGAGGGTAGTAAGGCACTGGAATGGGTTGCCCAGGAAGGATGTGGAAGCCCCCTCCCTGGAGGTGTTTACAGCCAGATTGGATGAGGCTTTTTGCAGCCTGGTCTAGTGGGAGGTGTCCCTGCTCATGGCAGGGGGGTTTGAACCTGATGATCTTTAAGGTCTCTTCCAATCTTAACCATTCTATGTTTTAATAATAAGGCAACAAAAGCACACATTAAAACTCTTAAGGGTTGTATTGTGAGAATCAGTAATTTTTTCAGTTGTAAGAAAAAAGATTGTGTTGGTGTTCACTTAGTGGAGAAAATTTTCAGCATTTTCAGTTATAGTGATCACCTCTATGTACTTAAATGGCTTGAGATTGTGTGGTTCGTTTTTTTAATTATTTTGTATTTGAAATTTCAGGAGTCATAAGTTTTAGTATATGATACTTTCATGTTGGATTATGTTTATTCATCTAGATTCTGCTGGAAGGGCCTGGCACTTTGAAATTCAATAATTTTTGCTTGGCTAAAGTGGAGGGTGAAAACTTGGAAGAAGTCTTTGCTTTTGTTTCATCTGAAGAAAACGAAGGAGATATCAGTGAAAGAACTCCACAAAGACACCTCAAAAGTATATTTCAAGGTATGATGTTTTTACTAGTCAAAACTAATTTATACCCCAGGGTCAGAATGGAATTTTGAAAAAGCCTTTGTTTGAAGTAGTTTGGAGAGAAGACCTTGAAATAAAATAGTCATTCATCATTCTGTTGGGGCTGACTAAACTTGTGGAGAAACTAAAGAATAAATTCCATTATGTTGTCTTTTGTAAAGATTAATGTGTTTGCCTTTGTCTTTGCAACATAGAACAAGATCTGTACATTTTCTGCAAGCAGGTTTTCCATGTCCTGCATATGGGACACTTTTAAAGTAAGCTCAAAAAAAAAATTGTTTTCTTAAGGAAGATTGTTCAGAAAGTTCATAACTCTGTGAGAACACCAGCTGCAAGTGAATAGAGCGAAAAGAAACTGTTTACACTAATTCCAAGTTTCACAAAGCCAGTTTACATAAGAGCTGGAATAAATACACTTCTGTCTGTCATAAAATAAGATGTATTAGAAATTCCTGGCCTTTGCTGCTTTTTGTAAATAGGCTATTTTTTTATCAAAACTCATATGTAGGTGATCATCAACTGTAGTGTACCTGTGTAATAAAGTTTCAACATAATGTAACCAGAGGTGATTTATTTTAAATTCCTTTTCGCAGCTTGATATCAAATCCCTACAATACAGCAGGGATTTACAAACTGTCTGTCTGTCTGGAGCATGTTTTAGTTATTTTATAAAATGCCTTTTTTTTTTTTCTTTGTGGAAAAATAATAGAAGCAAAATTTCAAAAAATAAGAAAATTAACAATCTAAACAAAAAGAAACCGTCAAATTGAATATATAGATGAGATCTGAAATGTTGCAAAGTAGCTAATTAATTAAAAATAATTTTTGCTTTGTATTTGCTGAGGAGTCTTAGTTATTACTTGCTGTTTGATTAAAACTACAGTGGGATGAAAAACTCCGTGAAAGACTTTTATTCCTAGATGCATATCACATGTCATCAACTAAGTATGAGTAAAAAAATGTGAAGAAAGATTAGAAAAGTAAGAGAATCACTAAAGCTTTTTAAGTTCAGAATTTGAACTGGAACTGGCTTTCATAACTGATGCAGTTGTATTTCTTGTATTTAGTTGATATAGGACAGTGTATTTTAATTAAGGGAAAAAAATAAAGGAAGTAGCAAAAGGAATAACTTATTTTGCAAACTGTTGTTCTCCAGTTAAAAAAAGTCATGATTGGAGAATGAAGATGTAACTGATACTGGAAGTAAAATAAAGAAAATAAATGATTTAAAATTAGTCTGTTTTGTCTCAGAAAAATTTGAGCAATGGAATTAATTGTGGACTTTTAAAGTGCGCTGCACAGATGTTCTTTGTAAGGTATAGGACAAAATTGTGTTTGTTGAGTGTATGCATAAAACTCAGTGAGTACTACATAGATCTGCTGCTTCTTTCATTAAAGACTTCACACTGCTGCACCTTCATTTCCTTTTCTATTCAAGTGATCCAAGTGATGTCTAGGTTGAAGCTTGCCTGTTTTAGTACTATTTACTTAAGAATTATAGGGTTTTTTTAAGTATGAGAAAGTTACTGTGCTTTAGTTTCAACAGACAGATCCATGCAAATGCAGTAGGCTGCAAACACTGTGTTATTTTTTAACTCAATAAGAAGAATTCAGAAGTTTGGTTTTCGTCTTCCAAATCTTTTATTAGTCATCATCTCAGAGCATATCACAGAACTCTTGTTTCCAAGATAATGGAGTATCATAGCAGGTACTGTTATAAGGAACAATGGAATTCTTGGCAATATTTTATGAGAACAAAGAGAGCTTTCTTAATACTTTGCTGTATAGACCAGATCTTTACTCAGGAAGAAATACAAATCTAATCTCTTTCTGTTGCCTTTCAGAACAGCTGTTTTCATGTGTATGGGTAAAGACCTTTTGTCACTTAAAAAAATAAAACCCAAGAACAAAAGAATCCAAAAAAAGTTTTTTTTACGGACTGTGAAAATGATGTATTTATTGAGTTTGTGTCATTTTTTAGAGATTTTTGAGAATCAAGCTAGAGTTTAGATGGGAACTACTGTAGAAATAGGAACTGTATATTTATTTTTCTTTATCAAGATAAAAGGGGTTTGTGAATAAGCTGCTGTAATTTAATACGTGATATTTTCATAATGTTTTAGTGTGGAAATAGCTATAGCTAGTTTGGATCAGTTATCCAGCTGGCTAACTACCTTGTTTTTCTGACAGAGTTTTCTAATTTCATTAAGCTTTATGTCTTGGGTTAGCTTTTACAAAAACAAAAGCCTGATGTTTACAATCAATGTTTACAAATATGTAAGGGGTGAGTGTCAGGGGGACGGAGTTAGGCTTTTCTCAGTGATGACCAGTGATAGGACAAGGGGTAATGGGTGTAAATTGGAGCATAGGAAGTTCAAGGTGAATATCCGAAAAAATTTTTTTACTGTGAGAGTGACAGAGCACTGGAACAGACTGCCCAGGGAGGTTGTGGAGTCTCCCTCACTGGAGACATTCAAAACCCACCTGGATGAGTTCCTGTGTGATGTACTCTAGGTGACCCTGCTCTGGCAGGGGGGTTGGACTAGATGATCTCTCGAGGTCCCTTCCAGCCCCTAAGATTCTATGATTCTATGATTCTATGTAACATAATTATTTCTGTTACATGCAAACTATGTTCAATTACTGCTCTGCTCAATATGCTTGGCTCTGGAAGCTGTCAAAGTATATAAAAACATTTTTTGCATTAATCACTGATGTAGAAAAGTGCAACACAAGCCAGCCTGGTTAATAGACATGAAATAAACAAGAAAGTAGCATATATAATCCTACATAATTTAGTAACTTTGAAACTTATATTTTGTATCTCAGTTTTATTATACTAAGTGAAGAGCTCACTGAAATGTGGAGACAAACTTTGAAATGTTGAACAGGATAAGTGCTGAATGAATAATCAAAGTGCGTTATACCTATTGTATTTTGTAGGGTCTCCACTATACACAGCTCCAGAAGCAATAAGGGGAGAGGACTTCTCCAAAGCCAGTGATCTGTGGTCCTTGGGATGCTTACTTTATGAAATGTTTTCAGGTTGTAAGTTTGTGTGTCTATTTAATATCTGTGGTAGTGGAAACATAGATTGTGGTCTCAGAATAGATTCCTGTTGACTTCACTCAGAAGTTAAAGCATAGAAAAACTTAAGGCAAGATTTAAAGATTTATTGAAGAATGTGCTAATAGTACTTAAAAAAACCCCAAGCTTCCTTAAGTAACCAAGTAAAATAATACTATTAAGTAGTCCTTTTGACTGTATACTAACCAACCTGTATTGCTTGGATACTATGTTTTAAAATTATAACAGTCCTCAAATTCTTACAGTGTAATGTTTTTAATATCCTCAGTATTAAACTCCAGGTGTATTAATTTCACCTTTCAGAAGGAAAACTGTTTCACTACTACAAAATCAGTAATTTGGTTTCCTGCAGATGAAGTATCAATTAGCATTGGCTGCAACTGGAAGGAAAACTTCATCACAAAAGAGAATTACAGTGTTACCTTCTAAAGTCTTAAACAATACACTGATGGATCAACGTAGTTACATAGTTACTGGGATTTCTGCCTGGACCTTCTCCTCATGTCTCATTGTTGATTCACACAGAGCTATCATGGTGAACTCCAACAAACCATCTTTGGTGCCTCTCCTGTCCTCGGTCTTTTTCTTGTTTGTGGTAGAAGAATTTAATCTGGGGTTTTGTATTTGAATTGACAAGTGAACTTGATAAATAGAATTTGGGTATTTATTTCTTTGGCTATTTCCTTAGTGAAATGGGCTCATTATATATCGTTGCACCTGACAGTAATTTTTAAACTTGCCTAATCTGTGAAATACACTTCTACTTGTTTGTAGGAAGACCACCATTCTTCTCAGACAGCTTTCCTGAATTAATTGAAAAGATTTTATATGAAGATCCAATGCCACCTAGACCAGAGGGTAACATTCTGTTATTGTTTATTTAATTAATCAAATCAGAGTAATGCTTACAAATTTAAAGTTTGTTTTGCAGTATTTCTTCTGAGACTGACTGCAGGAATCAGCTGTCCCAAGGGAATGTTAGAATTACTTTCCTTTGATAAGAACTTTTTCCTGGTTAATGATGCTTATTTGCATTTTGACAGATAGGCATATCATTTAATATTAAGAATTAAATCTACCTTCTGGGGTGAAATTTATCTCAGTGATTCTGGGCATCAGTGGTGTTCATGGAGATACTTAAATAATAATTTCTCTTTTCAGTTCATAGTAATGTAGTGAAAATGGTGACCTGTAGAATTAAAATGATTTTACTTGTTTCAATTCTGAGAAGTTTTGTTTTCAAAGTCTATAAAGTGCTTTCCATAGATATGAGCTCTTAGAAGTAGAGTCTTTCTCAGTTAAATAAGAATATTGGAAACGTCTGTTGTTTAATGGAGTGCATAAATGGTCCTCTTAAAATTATCATGGTTGGGGGAAATTTAATTTAAATTTTAGCAGATATCACTTCCATGCTATTTCTTGCTAATAGCTGTATGATAACTGGAGGATCACAGAATTGTCAGAGTTGGAAGGGATCTCTAGAGATCATCTGATCCAACTCCCCCACTAAAGCAGCATCACTCAGGATTGCATCCAAGCGGGTTTTGACTATCTCCAGAGAAGGAGACCTCCCAGCCTCCTGGAGCAGCTGCTCTGGTTTGAACCAGAATGAAGCCACTTTTTACTGATTTATTTTTTTTTTATTTTTTTTTTTTTTCCTTCAGTAAGCTTTGACTAGCAGTAAATGTTCCAGTTAGTGAACTGATAACACTGGAATGTTTATGCTATTGCCGGGACTTCAAGGTCATGTCTTCGCTCTGCTGGATCAGATGCTACTGGCAGATCTGTGACCCCCCTGTGGGAGGCTGAATTAGACAGCAAAATTGGCCAGAGATATACCATCCCATATATCTACGTAAGCTCAGAGGAAGGCCAGAGATCACAGGCGACAACTTCCTTCCTTCTTCTTCCCTTCTCTTCTGTCCATGGCCAGCATCCAGGGATGACTCCATCCATCCATCCATCCATCACCATTGACCCCCAGGCTGTGCATCTCCTGACCCTCATCACTCTGCGCTCTCTCCAACAGCTCTGGGACTTCTCAGGACTTTTGGCAGCTAAGGAGAGTGCTGTGGGGGTTGCTGGGGGTGAGAGGAGGCGAGAGGCTTTTGCACATTCCTGAACACATTTGTATATAATTGTATATATTTTCTTTTATCATTAGTGTTTAATTAAAGCTGTGTAGTTTAGTTTTCAATCCAGCAAAGTCTCTCTCTTATTCTTTCTCTCCTTCCCTACCTGGGTGGGCGGGGAGGGGACTGAGAACATTGTTGTCGATCCTGAGTGAAACTGTGACAACAGCCTATTCCAATGCTTTGTCACCTTCATAGAAAATAAGTTTTTTATCACATTTTAATGGAACTTCCTGTGTCCCAGCTCTCTCAGCCTTTCCTCATGAGAGAGATGCTCCAATCCCCCAGTGTTTCTTATTGCCCTCCACTGGATGCTCTCGAGTAGTTCCCTGTCTCTCTTAAACTGGGGAGCTCAGAACTGGATGCAATATTCCAGATATGGCCTCGCCAGGGCAGAGTAGAGGGGGAGAATGATCTCCCTCTATGTACTGGCCACACTATTTCTTATAAACCCCAGGATTCCATTGACCTTCTTGGCAATAAGTGCACATTCCTGGCTCATGGGTAATTTACTATCTACCAAGACTCCCAGATCCTTCTCCTTGGAACTGCTTTCCAGCAGGTCCCTAACCTATGCTGATGCATGGGGTTCTTCCTTCTTAGGTGCAAGATCCTACACCTCCCCTTGTTGAACATCACTAGGTTCTTCTTTGCCCAAATCTGTAACCTGTCCAGGTCATGATGCATGACAGCACAGACCTCTGTGTCAGCCTCCCCTCCCAGTTGGGTATAATCAGTGAACTTGCAGAAGATACACTCTGTCCCCTCGTCCAGGTTGTTAATATGTTGAACAAGACTGGACCGAGTATTGACCCCTGGGGGACACTGCTAGCTACAGGCCTCCAACTCAACCCTGCTCCATTAATTACAATCCTCTGAGTTCTGTCACACAGCCAGCTCTCAGTCCACCTCACTGTCCACTCATCTAGCCTTTGGTCAAGCATGATTTCCCTTTGGTGAATGCATGCTGACTTCTCCCAGTCACATTCTTTACTTTCACATGTTTTGTTATGATGCCCAGAAGGATTTTTTCCAACACCTTACAAGGGATAGAAGTGAGACTAACAAGCCTGTAGTTCCCTGGTTCATCCTTCTTGCCCTTTTTGAAGACCAGAGTGATGTTAGCCCTCCTCCAGTCCTCAGGCACCTCTCCTGTTCTACATGATCTCTCAAAGATGATGGAGAGTGTCCTAGCAATAACATCTGCTAGCTCTCTCAAATCTTGCGGATGCATCCCATCAGAGCCCATGGATTCCATGCTATATGGCCTCTAACCTTCTCCTGCTCTACCAAGGGAAAGTCTTCCTCTCTCCAGACCTTATCTCTTATCTCCAGGGTCCAGGGTTCAAGAGGATCAGCTTTTTCAGTGAAGACTGAAACAAATAAGTCATTCAATACCTCTGCCTTCTTTGTGTCTTCCACTGCTAGGGCACCCACCTCATTCGTCAGCAGGCCTACGTTTCCCCTAGTCTTCCTTTTTTTAAATTGATGTATTGGAAGAAACCCTTGTTGTCCTTGATACCTCTCGCCAGATTTAATTCCATGTGGACTTTAGCTTTCCTCATTGCATCTCTGCAAGGATGTTTTTTGACAAATAAACAACTTCAGTTTGGTGACTGAGCATTGATGTTTGTTTGGATTGTTGCTGGGTTTGTTTTGGTTTGGTTTTGTTAATTTGTTTGAGAATCCTTTGAAATGCAAAGAGTGTGTATTCAGGATTCTTCATTCCCATTTTTTCAAATGAAATTACTATTAAATAAAAGGGTTTTTAGCACTTTATCTACACTGTGTGATGGTTGGCTTTGCTGCCTGATGCATGTCTTCTCAAGTGCTTCTATTTACAGGTTCTGCTTTTCACAAACCTTCTGCTGAGTTCATACGTTTGCTTGATGGCTTGCTTCAAAAGGACCCTCAAAAAAGGTAAACTGTCTAATCCATGACAGTTGTTTACAAAATCGTTTTTCACCTATGGAAAAAATAATTGCTATCATACTTTATGTATAGTAATTTGTAGATCACAGAGTATGCAAAAGTAATTTAATCTCTCATAAAAGAACAAGCCGTGCTTATTTATTATATGAAAATATACGTAACCAATGCTTTCATTAAGTGTATCTTTGGGTTCTTGTCACTGGCACTAAATACATAATTTTATAACAAAGTACTGTACAGTTTTGAAATTAGACGGCTTTGCTTTTGCAGAATAATGGATACACCTATTTTATGAGGCTTTGATTTGTAGCTGATAAAGTCATATTGTTAGATAACATAAAATTATAATCTGGATGGTGGCTCAGATAATTAAGTGTTTGGCTTGGCTGTTCAGTTTCCTTCATTCTTAGTCTCATACCTTTGTGAATTATTGATTCTGAGTTGAGGTAGACAGTTTGTCCTGTAAAAAAACTTATTTGATGACCAAATAAAAATAAACACAATTAATTGCTCTGTATTGTCACTTGCTTAAAAACTTGTTCTGGTATCTCTCTGTGGAGGTGTACTTTGCCACTGCTTTTTCAGCTTGTTTGTTGCTTTTCAAAAGGCTGAGTTGGACAGACCTATTGCAGCATCCCTTCTGGAAAGGACTGCTTAGCTGTTGTGGTGGTGATTCTGCAGACAGAGAAGGCACAAGCTCAAGGTACCATATGTTCAAAGGAAGGCTTCTTGTATAGTGAATCTAAGCAAAGAAATATTTATATATTTTAATTATGGTTTTCTGTACATTTTCCGGCTTTTGAATTTTGCTCAGGATTTTTGTATTAACTAATTGATGAATGGAGTTTCACACCATTTAGTGAACAGTTTTGGTCACTTAGGAAATATCCTCTTAGTGTTTTACACTGTCTGCTTTCAACAGACTCCTTCCTCCTGGCTAAAGAATGTATTAAAATTTACTTCTGAACTAACTGCTCTCATTTTTATTTCTTTGTTTATATAACAATGGTACACAGTAATTTGACTTCTTTTTTTTTTAAAGCTTTTGTAGAATCCTATAAATGTGGGTCAATCTTATCTCTACTGAGGTTTTTTATTTTAAATTTTCCCTTTACTGATTTTTTTTTTTTTTTCTTCAGTAAGCTTTCTTTTAACTAGCACCAGAGCATTCCAGCTAAGACTGATAACAGTGGAATGTTTTTCTACCAGCCGGGTAATTAAGGTCAAATCTTTACTCTGCTGAGGTTTTTTATTTTATACATTAGGCTTAGAGCATCACAAAGCCTATCAGTCCAGCATCTTGGATTTGTCATTCAGCCTTATATCCTTGCAGCTGCAGCTGACCCATAATCTTATGCTTATGACATACAACATTAATCTAATGGGTTTTTTCCTAAATTTGTAATACTCTGTGCTGTTATATATATACAGAAGAATCCAAACTTTTTGGGAATCATAGGTTCTATGTAATAAAAAGTCAAGTTTCTTCAAAACTTCGGTTACTTTGCTGGTTTTGGGTTTTGACTTTTAATTAGGATATTTGGTGTTGGTTTTTATGTTCTTTTGTTCTAAATATTTGAAAGATCCTTTAGATTCTTATCTATGGAACTAGTGTGAAGAAAGTTTTCTGTTAGAATGCAGTATGTTTTTCTGTTCTGTCTATTTTAAAATTTTCTGTTATATTGTTTAATGCCTATTTCTGATACCCATGCTGCAGTACTTTTGTTAGTAACATTTTTTGTAGTTTGAGATATAGCTCTTTGTCTTTTAATTTTATTACTGTGTTAATTTTATTGCTACATTACTGCATTTATTACATGACCAAGACAGATAAGAAATCAAGCTTTAAAGTTCATACCATAAAGTAAGAATTTATTCAAGATTTTAACAAGACTTAGCTCAGCCTCCACCACAGTACTCATCTTTGAGGAATTCTCAGAGAACCACAAGAATCTAAATCTGCTGTGAAATCTTGGGCTATTTTAAGTAATTCTTGAGGGTTTTCTAATGCCTCTGATGTATCCGCTGAGGTATGCACTAAATGACAACTATGACATAGGACATGAGCCTGACATATGCAAAAGAAGCCCAGTACTTTTCCAACTGTGAGGCCTGTGTATTGATATTCTTCACAATGTGGGTTTGATTAATATTTGATATCCTGGAGCCCCTTCAGGAATGTTATATGACCCAGTTTCTTGTGAATAATAAAGGGTTTATTAAAAAAACCCAAGCAACCAGAATCAATACACTTGCAATTAAAATGTGACACATGTATCATTAAGAGAAAAAAAAGTGGTAGCTTTTGATCTAGGTTTTTAGCCTACAGACTTCATTATTGGAAGTATGTTGTCGTGACTTTTTCCTGTGAAGACAGAGTGGTGTCTAAAGCTTTTAAAATTTCTTTATATTGTTGGTATTATGGGATAATAATTTAGCTTTTATAGTTTCTTTCCTGTAAATTATACTGAAGGAGCTAGATAATTTTTAATATTCTTTAAGTCATTGGAGAATATTAAACTTATTTTTCATCATTCCCATTACTAATCTAAAAAATATGCGCAGCACATATTACAATAGTATGGTGGTGAGGATGACAGTGAAATTTATGCTAATAATTGCAAGAAATAATGGATATGATCCCTCTTTTTTTAAATCTGTGTATATCTTGTATTAAACAGCAGTGAAGACACAGAGTCATCTGTGTCTTGGAGTGCCAAAGAGGCAATGGATACTCATAAAAATCTAGATGACCTGTCATCTTCAAGAGTAAATAATAAGATACCAAGCAGTTCTTTCAAAATAGGTAATATCCTTCATTACATTATTTTGAATTATTTTGTGTGCTGTGTATTTTGTCCAGCTTACTAGCAACCTTATTTCCTATGTTTTATTTATTTTTTATTTTTGAACGTAAGTTCATGTTTTCTTTTCAGTAGAAACTCAGACTGAATTGCACCCAAAAAGTTCAGTTGATGGTGAACTAAATGAATCAAGATTTCTTCTCAGGTATGAAAATCTAAAACAATTAGAAAATCATTGAAACGTTTTAGTTTTGAGGGGTTTTTGTTTGGTTGTTTTTTTCCCCTGCCTCTTCAGGCATTTTAGTGTGCTGTTTATAATATTTTGTTAGTGTATTTATCTTATTTAGCTTTTGAGTTCTTAGCTCTCTGTCTAATATGAATAATTAACTTAGAAATTTCTGTGCTACTTCATGGATATGAGAATATGCTTTGAATATGCTTACTTGAAATACAGAATAAGCATACAGCATAGAGCTTACAATCCACTAGTAAATACTGCCTGCAGCTGTTAATTATAAAGCTATTTGGTTACAATCCATGAAGTACTATGGTGGTATTTAAATAAAAATATCATTGGTTTAACAATTACTTAAGTAGAGGCCTGATTCTGAAACTTTGTATGTGCTTTCAAGCACAGGTTTTGTTCTTGCGCTCATCAAGCAGAAATATTTCAGTTTAAATACACTTTCAAGTTTCTTTTGTATCATGAAATAGTGCTGTTGTGCATGATAGTAGGTGTACGTTTCTTGTTATTTCAGTTGGTTTTAATAAAACATGACTTCATGTCTTGCTTACATCTTCTACCATCACAGCTAAAGCCAGGTTGTTAGTAGTTTAAAATGACATTTACTATTTGTTTTAGGAATCTCTGGAGAAGAAGGGCTGCAATGACATTGCAAACACTTGGCATAGTAACATATAATCCAAATTCTGTCAGGAATGAGAGTAGGAAAAAATGTGTTTTAAGAACAAGGTGAAATAATTAATGCAAAATGTGAAACGTAATACCTAGGTGTTTTTTTTAAATTTATTTTTTTCTTAAATACTTTGTTTGAATTATTTAATTTCTCAAAGCAACTTGTGCTAACTGCAAAAATTTTAAAGCATTAAAGTGGAAGGAAGCTGTTGACCTGGCACTTGGCACCAGAATTCTCTTAGCTGCTGAAGTGGTTGACCAGCTTTGCACATCAGTAGCTTCTTTTACATTGACAAAGGGATTAGATTTTACTAATTTCAACTAGCTCAATTCAGTGATCACTGAGAAACCAGCTAAAAACTGGAAAAATAGGAAAGATTTTTGTCTCATACACATATGAAACAAGTTTAAAAATATATGTTTAACAAATCTAGGTTGTTTGAAGCATGTGGGAATCTAGAATAATTTGTTAATCCTCCTAGCTGGAAATAATACTTTTTTTGTTTTGTTTTGTTTAGAAAATAAAACTGTTTAAACCTCGAGTCAGATCCTGATTTATTTGTACTGCAAGAAATGGGGGCATGTTATGTAGTTTTTCTCTAGCTAGTGGATAACATTTTGGCACCTTTTAATTGTGCCTTTTAATTTTATTTTATTTTTCTGTTGAATAGATAAAAGATGCCTTTTTAACAAAATACAGATAAGGATGAGAACAACTATGTTGTTCTTTTTGTCATTCATTTTTATGAGAATCTTTAATTTTGTTTGCTATTTGTATTTTTAACTGCTTTTTTCTAATAAATAAAACTCATTTGCAACTTTGTATTAGTTTCTGCTAATCAAGAAAACACATTCATTTGAAGTTCTTGATTAAATTAGTTTACTGGCCTACCAATTTTATTAATTCTAAGGTTGATTTGAAAAACTTTGATTTAAATTAATGTATACTAAAAAAATACATTCACTATCAGCTTTATGAAAAGTGCAATTTTTCAGTGTTCTGGTTTCTTCTTTCTTTGTTTTCTAGTTACCAAATTACTTTTTTTAAAAAAAGAAAAACTAAAAATAAACCCAGGTAACATGAATACAAAAGAATCAGGTAGCTTTTAATTCCCATTACCTAGCCAAGAGTTGTCAGTCAGGAGAGAATAACATAAAATAAATTGCAAGTTTTTGTCAAGTTAATTCTCTTGGTATGCTGCTTGTTGTTGGGAATTAAGATAACAACTGTTTAACATCTAGTTTGGAGAACTGACTATAGCTGATAAAATAATGGAATTACATTCCATTAAAAAAAGAAAAGCCACCCAATCCTTCCCATTTCTGATTGACAAACATGTCAACTCTGTTCCAAGACAGGAACTTCATGTTTAGTTTGTGGAGCAGGCATAGCATAATTTGTGTTTGTCAACTTTGAAGGTTTACTTTGTGGTATGAAATTTTCAAAAGAGCAACCAAGAAGTAGTTTGCAATGAAACTGAATCTGTGCTCTTTGTTGGTTTATTTTCTCTTTTTCTCTCTCTTTTATATTCAAGTTCTCGTCCCACATCTAGAACTAGCATTGTAGTAGAAGTGAGTGATACTACTACTGCCCCAATTAAAAATTCTCCACAAAGAGATTCATGCTTGAAAAAGGTGAGTAGAAAAATAATATTAAGGGATGCTGGTACCTTTATATTTAGATTATAGTGTGGAGTCTGTGGTAAAGGCAACTTTCTTCTCCAACCTTCTGTAATTATAACAGGAAAGAAGTTCATACAGTGTGCAAGTTACTTAGAAAAAAACATTTGCCAAACTTCAGACGTAGGAACAAGATGTTTAGTCTTTTTTTTTTTTTCTTCTTCCCCCCCCTCCTCCCCCTGTTATGTAAAAAGGATAATGGTATCCTCTTTCTTGTCAGTCTACTTTTTAAATTTAGTTTGGAAGTTTTTTTATCCGATACTT